CACCCCCCACCCATGAAGGACTCTTCTACAAATGGAACTTGACCCTGGAAGTGAGAACAATGTAACCTGAAAATTATACCCTCATATTAATTTGATTGTAAATTTAATGACAAAAAATTACTAATCATTGGGAAATTCCTTCTTTCTATGAATTTTATGCTGTTTCTCCTTTTTTAATCTTTAGGCCTCAGAGGAGCTCCAGGATACTCCTTGGATCAAGCCCATCATCTTCCTATTGAAATGGATCCACTGATTGGTATATTATCAAACAAAAATAAATTTTCATGGATACTGATGGTCCATAGATTCTTACATGATTATTTTTCACAAATATAGTTGATTATATAGTCTGGCATAAAATTAATGTACAAATAACATAAAATTATCATCACAGAGCTATGCACATCATAATATGCCCCCTAAAAACTTTCTGTATTAAAGCAATCATTCATGGCATTTTCATATTTTAGGAGGGCATGTAAGTTAACTGTCTTATTTTTAGCCTAAAATATTTCTTTAATAACTCTATACTATTTAAAGTATAAGGATTAAAAGAGATTATTAAAGGAAACTAATACTAAGAACGTCTTCTCTAGAAGTCAGTATTCAACAGGCATAAAGCTGTTTTGAATTAAGATTTGATATGATTTGTAAACCCATGAGCTGTAACTCTCGCAGTAGATATTAAAAATATTTTTAAATAATAATGTACAAACTTATTAGCCATATGGTCTAGAACAAGTTTCTTATCTTTCTAAGCCTCTCAGTTTCATATTTGTGAGATGATTTATGATAATGTTTGTTCTGTCTTATGGGATTATTTAGAAAATTAAGTAGAAGAAAGTTAAAAATGCTATGAAAAATTATTAAGATATATACAAGCTATCATGTTTTAATCTTAGATTAATTAATTTACTCTTCATCTTAAATCCAGAAAGGAGACAAGATACAGTTATTTCAGTTAGTTACTTGTATCCCTGTTCAAAATGGAATTTTTGTGTCTTTAGGAGGATAGAGGCTTTGCTCTAGGAATACTCCTAGAGTCTAGTCCAGCTGTTCAACAGACATTGGCAATGAGATATACAACTAATGAGTAGCCAAGGGAAAACTAATAGCTCTATTGGAATTAATCAAAGACCAAATTATATGGTTTTCAAGTGACTCAGGACCTTTGGGGTTTTTTTCCTTAGTTCCTTCTTTTTGGTATATATTTTTTTGTTACGTACATTCCCTAGTAATTATGTTCATAGTGTTAGTAGATGCCACAACTGGTAGCACTTAGATTTCATTTGCATTACAGCGTGGTGATGGTGACCTTCATCTGCATTTCTGTTTAAGGATTCAGCCCAGGGATTCAGCCTGAAAGGACGGTGTAGAGTAAGGGACAGGGCACTGGGGAAATCAGATGGTGTCTCTGAGTTCTCGCCTTTATTCAGATTCCGTCCCAGTCCTGCACACTGATCCTTTGCCTGTCTCTCTCCTCCCTAGTCCTTCTCCCATCTTTTTTGTTCCTCTCTTCCCCAGCCAGCCCATTCTGGAAAGGCCTGAGTTTGTTGACAATCAGGTCTTTAAAGCTGCTGACCTAAAGCTCCCTGTAGGGCTGCCCACATAACAACGTCCCTGTCTCAAAATCTCTATCCTCCTCTTTTCATATTAAGTTGAAAATACCATCAGAAAATGACAGATCAGGGAATTTTTTTTTGTCCTTGTATAACATACTTCATATGATATTTATTTCTCATTTTATTCTTAATGAACTAGTGAACATTTTCATTGTGAAATCTATAGAATTAAATGCATCTAAATATTTTTGTGTGTGTTTTAAATTCACCATCTTGAATTCGTTACATTGTTTTTATTTATTGGTGGAGGAAGAACTTAAATTTCTGGTATAATTTTTAAATATGCAATGCAGTTTATAAATTATCACTGCTACTAAGGAAATGTATATTCCTCAAGGGAAAATGTTAAAATCTTAATAATCTTGCAGCATTAAAATTCTATTTCTAAATAAAGTATAAAAGTATTCTTTTTCTTCTGTACATTCTCAGTGAAACTCTTGCTTTTTTCTATTTATTTTTAGCTAATAATTCTGGTGTGAACAAGCGGCAGATCACAGACCTTGTTGACCAGAGCATACAGATCAATGCTCATTGTTTTGTGGTCACAGCAGATAATCGATATATTCTCATCTGTGGATTCTGGGATAAGAGCTTCAGAGTTTATTCCACAGAAACAGGTAATCGTAACTATAAAATACCTTGTACTCTTCAAAGTGACCATCGTTATGTCCAAAGCTGACTGTAAAGTCCTCATTTGTCAACTTAAGTGGTCAAGATCCAAATTAATGTTCACATTGTAGCTAAACAACTAATCACAACTTCATCCATTCTGAACTTCAGTGTGATCCCCAAGTTCAGAGGGCAGATGTAGCCATTGTTCCCTGCCCTAAATCCACAGGCCTTCAACCTCTCCATAGTCTAACCCAAACCCTGAAGAGAAAAGTCATGATTATATTATTTCATAAGTCCTTTCCTTAGAAATCCCAGTGACATTCTTGTACCAATTTCATGAGCAATTCAAAAAGCAGCTGCAGTTAGATTTGAATTACTTTATAAATCTGAGTCTAGAGATTGACTTTTCACAAATCCAGTAACATAATTCTTTTTTAAAATCTGGTGAAATAAACTTATGTTTGTTACCTTGGAAGAGTAATGAAATAAACCTGTCATTTCTTTGTTGCAGGGAAATTAACTCAGATTGTGTTTGGCCACTGGGATGTGGTCACCTGCCTGGCCAGGTCCGAGTCATACATCGGTGGGGACTGCTACATTGTGTCTGGATCTCGAGATGCCACCCTGCTTCTCTGGTACTGGAGTGGGCGACACCATATCATAGGGGACAACCCCAATAGCAGTGAGTATATCAGACTGTAAATTCATTTAAATATGTTTTGCCTTTTTTATTTTCCTAATAATTTTTCTGAGGTGGTAAGGATTTTAAAATAAGAAAGCAAAAGTGGCAAAAATTGTGATTGGAATGTACTTTAAACCTAATTAATTACCATCTTCAAAATGAAATTCAGAAATGATACAAGTGTTATTTCCAAAAAAAATAAAGATTGAAAAGCTGGCATCTGGTAACAGAGATAAGATGTGTTATAGAATATACTGCTATGATATAAAGAATTTAGAAGAAAAATGTTAAATTATAGTAATTATCTATGAATGATTTTATAAACCACAAGATGGTTAACTATTCATTATAGCTGTGATGCATCAGTTAGCAGGAAAAGTTGAACATAATAATATTTAATGTGTTTAAATTTCCTTACAGTAGGAGCTATATAAATATAAAATGCTTTTATTAATATTTAAGAAAAAAATTATGGGGCAGCACCTGTGGCTCAGTGAGTAGGATGCTGGCCCCATATACCAAGGGTGGAGGGTTCAAACCCAGCCCCAGCCAAACTGCAACAAAAAAAAATAGCCAGGTGTTATAGCAGGCACCTATAGTCCCAGCTACTTGGGAGGCTGAGGCAAGAGAATCACCTAAGCCCAGGAGTTAGGGGTTGCTGTGAGCTGTGACATCATAGCACTCTACGGGCTATAAGTGAAACTCTGTCTCTATTAAAAAAAATATGGATATATTTGTTAAAAAACAGTATTTTTAAGTTTTAAGTAAGGATAAGATTATCTTAAAAAATTATGATAGAAGATTATCAGTATTTTTTTAATTGCCTCCTCTATCTGTAAAAACTTATTTTTTGGTTAGAAATTATCATCATCAGGCCAGGCATGGTCATCACACCTATAATCCTAGCACTCTGGGAGGCCAAGCCTGGTGATCCCTTGAACTTAGGAGTTCAAGAGTTCAAGACCTAAGCAAGAACAAGACCCCATCTCTAAAAAATAGAAAAAATTAGCTGGGTGTTGTGGTAAGCACCTGTAGTCCCAGCTACTCAGAGGCTGAGGCAGGAGGACCACATGGACTCCAGGAGTTTGAGGCTGCTGTGAGCAGCAATCTAGCCTGGGTGACAGAGTGAGACTCTGTCACCAAAAGAAAAGATTGTTGTCATCATTATGAACCTAAACCATAAAATCCACCCTGTGAAGACTATATCATTGGCTGTTTAATGTGAACATATGGAGAATGGCTTCCATGAGCCTTAATATTAGGGAAAAAATGCTCTCCTGGAATAAGCAGGCTAAGCTCCTAAGGTATCGGTTCAACAAATCTGTGTTGAGTGCCCACTGTGCCTTGCACTGTCTCAGTAGCTGGGAATGGCAGAGAGTCAGTCAAAGTCCCTGACCTCCTGTAGTTTGTAAGAATCTTTTTTTTTTTTTTTAAGAGGCAGGGTCTCACTCTTGTCACCCAGACTGACTCACTGCTACTGCAAACTCTTAGACTTTACGCAATCTTCCAGCCTTCCAAGTAGCAAGGATTACAGGCACATGCCACCTTGTTCAGCCAAGGTGAGATAGCATCTTGCTGTGTTTTCCAGGCTGGTTTCAAACTCCTAGCCTCAAGCAGTCATTCCACCTCAACCTCCCAAAGTTCTGGGATAGCGTGTGTGAGCCAGCGTGCCTGGCCTGAACAGTCTGTTTTTATACTGATCTCAAAACTACTTTTTCTGCTTAGATATACTGAGTATATTGAGTGCTTATCATGAATTGCTATCAGATAACTTTTTATACTGTAAGTACTTTGAGCATCATAAGATGCTTTGCTTTACATCTGTGTACAAATTGATGATTATTTAAACAACTGTTGTCAGCTTTTGGCCATAAGATAATCATAACAATAAAAGAAATATATAAATAAATCAGATTCAGTATTCAGTTGACTCTACTGATTTACAACTCACTGTACTAAAACAGCCAACCTCGTAGCATTTCTCTGCCTGACTAGAGCAACCATATATATTGGTCAGTTTGCTTTTTCTAAAGGCAGTCATAGCATACTCTGCATTGACTGTCATACCAGTGATCCCGCTGTGCTGTTGACATAGATGTAGTTATTGCCACCAGAAAACTTACAGTGGGAGAGAAAGATTTTTATTGTGTTCCAGTTTAATCTACTCTAGCTCCCAATTCATAGGTCAGAGAATCAGGCTTTATGTGTTTTCTATCTCATAATACATTGGGACTCAAGACCAAAAGGCTCCTTATGTCTAAATTTGTATTAAAGTGTGAGATACAATGCCCTTAGGTTTTGGAGGTTGTATGTATTAACCTGGACTTGCAGGGGGAGTCCTCGCATAAAACATACTGTCCCAGTAGCTGCTATAATTCAGGGACTGGGCTTGTCGTGGACATCCAACTGCTCTGTATGTCACAGAGGCCAGATCATACTTGTTTATCACAGCATCATGAAATGATAGGTTTATCATCTACCCTGATGTGGACATCACTGAAGCAGTCTCAATATAAATTCAAGTGGCTTTAATATATATTTTTTTCTTGTGCATGGTCATTATTATGTTGTAATGGATAGTTCTAATTTCACAAAGAAAAAATTAACTGTGGTTGTGGATTGTTTTAGATATGTATAAAAAGAGTCTGTGGTTTCATTGTGTCAGACACTTTGTTGTGACTAATGTGGACATCTCAGAAATATTTGTCTTTTTCTAATTATTCTTATTATTTTAATGACTTGTTCACAAAGGCAATGAAAATTTGTAAACAAAGTATTACAAAAGAGAGTTTCAGATCACTTACCGTGTAAGAAAAAATCCATCTGTACCCAGCACAGATTACAGTTAAATTATAGTTGTTTTATTAATGTATTCCATTGTAATAATATTTATTATTCTTTCAAACTTGTGGCTTTGAACATAGAAATTATCTTGCAGATTTTAAATAGGTCCCTAACTAGATAACAGAATTGCAAAGATGTGAGGGACAGATGCTTTCATCTAAAACAGTCTTTTACACAAATTCTGAAACTAATTTGGAAGTGATAAAAATTAATTTGCGCACTTTAATTGGAAGCAGCCTACTGCATGAAAGAAAGCAGGGCAGAGCAGGCAATTTGTGCTAAAAGCTGATTGAATTTTTTGTCAGGTAAGTATCTTGGACTTGGCCACTTATCCTCCTGAGTCTCTGTCTGCAATATGTTATAGCCCATCTCTGACTGGTGTTCTTTAAAAAGATCAATGCTATTCCTGCTGGATCCCTAGAGTCCAAAATCCCATTGATCTTGGGACTTGACATTTCTCATCATGTGCTGTAGCTTCCAACAAGATAGTCACAAGAGGGGCGAGTTAACACTGTTGTCTCTCCAGCAGACACTTAAAGTACATTGGAGCCTCAGCTCAAAACCGGTCTGCTTTGAAAGTATGTCATTTTAATGTTTGTACTATACAGAAGGTGCTTTATTTAGAGCTTGATTTATATACAGAAGAAATGTTTTAAATCGTAGCATTAAGGAACCTTGGAAAGAGGATTTACCATTCATCTTTTTAAATCAAATTTACAAATATTCGTTGAGTAATATGTATAAGACATTGTCATTGTGCTTTTCTATTCCAGTTGTAAAAAGTCATATGTAGTTCATGTTCAAGCATTATGCAAACTATGAAAAGGAGAAGCCAGTTGAAAAGGAGCCTCCAGCTGTGCACACACCTTCCCTGGGCTCCTATTGTGCCAGCTTCAGCTCTGGACACTGACCCTCCTACCAGCCACAACCTGTCACCAGACATCTGCCAAATCCCATCCTTGTCTTTGTTTGCATCCAGACTTCTTTTTAAAAGACTATCCTGGTGCCTCACTGCACAGCCGCCACTAACTAAGGGTGTTACAAAGAATGAAAAACATGGCCGACTAGCCCAGAGAGATTTTAAAGTACATTGATATTTATGTATGTTAGATGAGTTTGTATCTTCTCTCAGAGCAAGGAATCTTATCCAGGGTTTAGTAAATGTTGATCTGTCATTTTACTAAGTATCAGAGGAAGCATAGCTACATATGTAGAAATTTTTGCCTCAGGGCTTCCTGAGGACCAGATGGTAAGGGCTGGGAAGAAGCCTCCCTAACTCAGGGCCCGCTCTGCCCACCCCGCTGTCCATCCCTTCACCTGACATCAGAAGACTTTAGAGGGTTCATGGCTGAGAAGTGAGCTGCCTGCCACTTGGTCTCTGCTTTTCCTTTCCTTTTTTGGACCTGAGGCTTCAAGAAAGGTCTTCAGCCTGGGTCAGAAGCACATAAATGAGAGTAAACAAATGCATTGTCCTGATCTGAGAGTTGCATTCCACAGACCAGGGAGGTGTCTAAGCTTCATGCAGAGCCCAGCTTCCTGGGGCAAGGTAGGTGGGTGATGATGTTGGTTTTAGTAGGACAGAAAGGTCCTTCGACATAGACCTAGGTTCAGGACTTCAAAGAAGAGGTTGCCTTGCAGTGGCAGTGCTCACAGGAGCACGTGGGCAGACAGGCTGGTCTCATCTATCTGCTGTTCTTCACTGAACACTCTCTGAGTAGGCAATGAAATGAATTGACATTTTCCAACCCACAGAATATGTTTACTTGTGTTACCTTGTGACCTTGGAAAATGCAGACCCAGGAATATTTGGTACTTGGGCCAGAGCTCTGCAGCGGCCCCGCCTGTGGCTGAGGACGGTGTGTTGATGGGGTACCTTGCCAACACTGTCCTTTTCAGCTGTCCCAGCCAATCTCTAACACGTTACATACAACATTTTGAAACAAATGTTGAAAGCACAGTTGTAGTAAAACTACCACAACCTTACTGGATCACATACACTGGGATTTTAAACTGTAGAAGTCCATCATATTTGAGTAAGTATAAACAGGAACACCTCCTGCCATGATTGTGCAGTGGCCTCACTAAGGTCAGAGGGAAAATCTGAATATCGTGTGTCAAGAGGTATCCCCTGACGCTAGCAGAACCATGCTGAGGAGCAAAGTGTTAGGAACTCCACGGCCTTTGTGTGGCTGTGACTCGGAAGGGCCAGAGCTTCCCTGCCTAGCAGTAGCGCCACAAATGAGGCTTAGCATAACATCTGTGAGCTCTCGTTGCATTGACCGTTTCTCTAAAATCCACAGGACACCTCACTGATAAAGCTCTCCTTGTCTGGCCTGTGCGCATAGCAGCATCTGATTCTTTATTTTATATTAATTTATTAAACATTTTTCATCATTTCCTTTGAGAATATGATTTCTGATAAAAATGAGATGGAACGTTGATTTTAGCCTTTTACGTCTGGAGTTTCCAAGTGCTCGCCTATGGGGAATCTCAAACTCCAAAGTTGGACGTGTTTGTTCGTGATCATGCTTCACAGTTCCAGCACACAGCACTCTTCCACAGAGGGAGTGGGTGGGACTGAGGGCACTGGTGCCATGGTCCTCGGAGGGTGGTCTCAACTGCACCTCCCTCTGCACTGGGCCCTTTCACCCTAAGCCACATCCATCAATTGTGATGTGACAGTGGCAGAATATTCCCAAGATTTTGAATAATTGTTGGGGCATGTGACATCTGTCCCTGGAAGTGAAATGAAATATAGGAAAGAGGCTTTCCCCTGGCTGCAGGTTTCCCTACTCAGAAAGCACACAATAGCATTCTAGTTGCTTTTCTGTCGCTTAAAAAGGGAAATGATTTTTTCAGGGGCCCTAAACAATATGCCCTAGAAGTTAAGTTCCACAAGTTGATTCAAATGATCTGGGGAAATTGTAATGAAAAGAATAAAACATTTTAAACTATCTAAATTAGACACGAGCCTTTGAAAAAACTTATTTCCTAATAATAAATATATAATGCACATAAAGAATATTTGTGATATTATTTTATGTTTTTTCTCAATCTCTTGCAATGAGATTAGATTGCTTGTTTCCCACAGCATATAAGAGAAAGATCTCAAAATTCTTTATTTTATATTAATTTATTAAACATATGATTTCAGTGTTTTTCAATGTACCCATCTCTCCAGAACAAAATGATCATTTAGAAAAATTAAGAATAGTATGCTTTGAAAATTTTTATTGTATATAACAGTCGTGTGTCTATGGTGTATGTGTGATATTTTGATGCCTGCATGCAGTGTTTAGTGACAGATCAGGTAATCGAGATACACTAAATCTCATTCCTTCTATCTAACTGCGTTTTATGCCCGTTAACCAGCCACGCTTCATCCCCCACTCCCTGCTACCCTCCCAGCCTCTGAAGACCACCGTTCTGTTTGTTGCCTCCATGAGATCAATTTTTGTAACTCCCACATATGAATAAGAACATGGGATATTTATCTTTCTTTTCCTGGCTCATATCACTTAACATAATGTCTTCCAGTTTCATCCATATTGTTGCAAATAATAGGATTTCTATGGCTGAATAGTATTCCGTTACGTATATGCCACATTTTACGTAGGTTGATTTCATGTCTTGGCTACTGTGAGTAGTGCTGTGATAAACATCAGAGTGTCGCTGTCCCTTCGGTATGCTAATTTCCTTTCTTTTGAGAAATCTTATCAAGACTTAATCCTCATTTTACCAGGAAACTCAGAGCATCTTTAAAACGGTATTTTGCAAATTATATAAATACATTCAAACAAGTCCAAAAATACTAAAAATATAAAGAGATATTCTACCAATATTGAAAACATATCATGGCAATAGCCATAGATATAGAATGTGATGGCAAACTCACATAGGCTATCGGCCCCCTTCTCCCACACGCCATCTAAGAGATGCTTTAAAGCAAAAAATTCTCAAACTCCCAGGAATGTATTCTTAGCCTCCCTGAACCCTAGTTTGAGAAACACTGAGTTAAGAAGATCATCTTAAAGCATATTTCAGTTTTAAATCTCCACAACAAAAATATTATCACAGAAAATTTGACATCAAAAAGAGGTATCTTTAGAAAGCCATCTAAATATCTTTAGAAAGCCAAAATTGTAATCTGAAATGTAAAATTTTTCATAGAACTCCCTCCCTAGAAAATACCCACACATAACTGGGTACATTGACCCTAGTTTGAGAAATACCAAGAATTCTCAAGAAGTTACAGATTTGTAGCCAAATTACAACATACATTTTCAAGGAGAAAAAAAATAATAGTTAATGAAACAGGCAACTTAAAATGAAGTAGTAATATATATGTATATACACACACAAAGGCATTCATATATATTTGCTCTTTGCTCTGATGACATTATGAACTCAACTAAATAATACATCCCGGATGAACCAATATCATACAGTGAGTCTGTTGTAATTATTTAAAAAACTAAAAAATAAAGCAATGGAAGATACGGACAACGTAAGACATTAATGAGTGTGATACTGTTAATGAAGAATGGAAATAGTAGGGTATGACAAGGCATTGAGGCATGTTTGCTAAATCTAACCGAGCAGTTCAGGTCAAAACTGTGTTGTTACTGAACAGTCCGCATCTCTCTTCCTGATCTCCCTGCACTCCACAGCTTTGCCTCTGTGAGTTATGCTATCATATGCCATCTTCCAAGGGAACCTCTCAGAACCCCACCAAGGATGTCACGACACAGTCCTCTCTGACTTCCTCCTGTTTCCTTTTCCTCTACAATTCTGTACCCCACGCCTACAGCAGCCCCCCATTTCCATCCCAATCTGGCTCCTCCCAACAGCTTTCCCAGTCGAGACATGCTGGGCAGGGTGCCCTCTAGACTTGGCTGACCGGTCACACTGCCTTATGTGCGTGCAGCTTATTCACCAACACTCTGATTTGCTCTTCATTCCTGTGAGGACTTTTTTGATTCCCACTGGTCTCTGCACATGTGTTTGTTCCTCCTCCCACCTGTCCTAGTTGAGTGCCTGAAGTGGTAGGCCTTTGGTAGGCCCTGGCTGTTTGATGTGTTTTGAGCAGTTCCAGGTACACCTTAACTGTGTATATACTCCCGGCTCCTAGCCTGCTTAGCAGAATCCTATCACTTAGAGCAGGGGTCCTCAAACTTTTTAAACAGGGGGCCAGTTCATTCCCCCAGACCGTTGGAGGACTGGACCGTGGGTCCCAGGACGAGGCAACTGCTAAGCAGGACAGGCAGTGGCGGCAAAAACACCCAGCAGACTGGATAAATGTCCTCGGCAGGCCATAGTTGGAGGACGCCTGACTTAGAGGATACTAACTCGGTCTGTGAATGCACTCAGCAGTGAGACTGCTTACAGAAAGGAAGTGGAGAGCTTAGATAATTATCTCTTCTTCCTTTACTACTTCCCCGCACACATCCTTTTACCTCCCTGCCCTCCAAATCAAAGTGGTTCGTTCTTTCTGTTGGATATTTTAGGTAATATTTCATAATGGGTAAGAGCACTGATGCACAGTTAGATAGCTCTGGGTTCAGTTCCGGCACTGTCTGGCTGTGCAGACTTAGACAAGTTCAATAACCTTGCAAAGCCATGGGTGTATAGACTGCAAAATAGGGATATTAAGAGTACCTGCCTTATAAAACATTACCAAACTGAATGAGGTAACAGGTGAAAATGCCTTGGTGGGCATTGTGCCCATTTTGTAACAATAGAAACAGTCGTCACATCCTGATGATGCTAGAAGCACCTTGCATATGCTGACTTTCCCCTTCACCCATCAGCCTGTGTAGCGGTTCTGCTGGTTACACCCGTTTCACAGATAAGGAGAGCAGAGAAGTAGGTTGCTCCTGGCCACACAGCTTGATGTAATGCCCTTAATAAACACCAGTGATTGTTTTCTTATGTTGGGTTTGGTGGTGTAGCCCTTTACTTCTGCCCTGGGTCTGTGGTGACTCACTGCTGCCGTCATCTTGCAGGTGACTACCCTGCTCCAAGAGCCGTCCTCACAGGCCATGACCATGAAGTTGTCTGTGTTTCTGTCTGTGCAGAACTTGGACTTGTTATCAGTGGTGCTAAAGGTCAGAAGTCATTTCTTTCATTTTAAATCTTTACAAAATGTACTGTTTTCTCAAGCTAACAATGATTTATGGCTTATTTCTTCTGAATCTTTCCACAGGCAAATATAATCCCTCTGTTCTTTGCAGGTGTTCAGTTTTATTAGTAGTATTTATTAGTGCTAATATAAAATATGTATAAAATGGACGCCTTGTGGCCTCCAGCATTCTAACCAGCACACTGATAAGGTGCAATACATCTGTATGATGCAGCCATTTGAAAAGGACGTTTAAAAGACAGGGGGTTCTTCTTAGTATAACATCAAAAAAAAAAAAAAGAAGAAGAAGAAGAAAGAATACAAAATAAAAGGGAGTGGGGAAATGCCCTGGTACAGTGGGGCAGTGCAGGGATAGGGTCAGGTTGCTCGTGGGACTGGCCCAGGTCCCCTCTCCCTACCAGTCCCTTTCTTCACAGGGCTGGGGCTGTGTAAAGGATGGTGGAAAGGAAACAGGATTACTTGGTTCTTACGACTTTCTGTGGAAGAGGTGTCCTTTCAGGAAGAGCTGGGAAACAGGTCTCAATTCTGGACCCCATAGCATTTCTCCGTGAGAAGACTGAGGCAGAAGGAGGCCCGGTGCTAGGAGAAACTGAAAGGGCCCCGGGAGAGCGTCGCCTGGTGCTCAGCATGCAGCAGTGAGGAGGCTGAGCAGGCGGGAGGGGCCCTGGCACAGGGTTTTCATTTTTGGGGGGTGGTGGTGTTTTGAGACAGAGTCTCACTTTGTCACCCTTGGTAGAGTGCCCTGGTGTCACAGCTCACAGCAACCTCCAGCTCCTGGGCTTAGGTGATTCTCTTGCCTTAACCTCCCAAATAGCTGGGACTACAAGTGCCCACCATAGCACCTGGCTATTTTTTGTTGTTGTTCTTGCAGTTTGGCTGGGGCCAGGTTTGAACCCGCCACCCTTGGTATATGGGGCCGGCGCCCTACTCACTGAGCCACAGGCACCACCCAGATTTTTGATTTTTTATTATATTCTAAATATAGTGAGAAACCATTGAAGGGTTTTTTTGTTTGTTTGTTTGTGTTTGTGGGTTGCTTTTTTTTTTATTTTTGGAGACAGAGTCTTACCCTGTCACACTGGGTAAAGTGATGTGGCATCATAGCTCACAGCAACTTCAAACTCTTGGACTGAAGCAATCCTCCTCCCTCAGCCTCCTGAGTAGCTGGGACTACAGGCACCCATCCCAACATCCAGCTAGTTTTTCTATTTTTAGTACAGACAGGGTTTCACTCTTATTCAGGTCTCACTCTTGAACTCCTGAGCTCATGCAGTCCACTAGCCTTGGCCTCCCAGAGTGCTAGGATGGCAGGCGTGAGCCACCTTGTCTGGCCCATGGAAGGTTTTAATCAAGGCAATGAGATAATCAAATTTTGTTGTTAGAGCTTATTCTGGCTGCTTTAAAGGGAATGGATACAGTCTAAGGGCAGGGACCATCTTTCTGTTATTTACATATCTGAGATTTTTAATAAATGTCTCTTAATTTTTTTAAAAAAGTTAATAATATGTATGTTATCATTTTATCCTGAGAAATTAAGCAAAAGGGACAATAAGTGACACATAGTAGACATAGAAAAAAAACACAAATTTTCTATAGGTGGTGGGTAATATCAGAGGTGATTGCTATATTTTTTCTGATTTTCTATAGTGCACATCTGTTACTTTAGTAATCAGGAAAAACTTAGGTGTAGCTTTATACTGTCACTTGTTTTATAAAATATGTATGTATCCAAATGAATTGACCAAAAAATAAAAATAATTCATTTACACTTCTTGTGGAGGCCTTTTTGGGCAGAGGTTGTATATATCAAACCCATATTAACCAATTCATTTTATGAACTAGACCAGTGAGGGGGTTTGGGGTGTTTTATTTCTTTGTTTTGTTTTATCTTATCAACACCATTTCTACAAGGGCCTAAGACCCCAAAAATAAATGGAGCAAAATAAGTTGCTCCTAATACTACTTTTCTATTCTTGCCTCACTATTCATTTATTTAAAAACAAAATGTGTTTCTAATTTGCCTAGTTTTTCCTTTACATTTTATGGATAGACAACAGAAAAAAATTAAAAATTCTTTAATAATTATTTTAGTGGTGCAATGTTTAAACTTTGATTCTACTAGAGAAAATTAGCAGCTGTTCTGATAATTCTTTTAAACTGCCAAGGAAAATTTCTGGAAGCATAGTAAGAGAAAATTTGGGGAATATTATAAAATATTTTATTCTCATATAACTTATGAACTATTCTCTTATTATGAATATTACCTGCTGAAGGAAATGACCGAGTATTTACCTAGATAAAAAGTTGGCAG